AGATAGAGTGAGGGAGAGAAGACAAGGGAAGGAAAAGCGAGACCGAGAAAAAATAGAGATGAACATATAAGAGGGCGTTAAAACATTGATACAAAATTTGAAGGGGTCAGCGAGGGGAAACGAAAGAGCGCGTGGCTTAATTGATTGATTGATGTAATTAACAGTGATAGAGAGGGAGAAAGACACGGATAAGTGTTTTCACGTTACGAAACATTTGTTTCAGACATTAGTTGTCTGCTTCTTCGGAAGTCAAACAACTAACGTAGAGAAAGAAGCGGTGTATAGAAGCCATATTATACTCGATGCTATCAGGCAGATTTCGCAATGAATTTTACTATTGAATTATTGACTGATTGATTAGTATATAATTGATTGTCTACGACGGCCAGAGGCGGGGAGTGATTGAGCATCACAGAAACTCCAAACTAGCACCTTCGTACACAATGGAGTGCAGTAAATTGAGATTCTGTGGTTGGGAAAGACAAAGGTAGGAATCCGCTTGCATCCAATCCTATAAAATATAGACAAGTTGAGGAGTAGAACAAAAATGAGTGTTACCAAAATGACAAGGAAATGCTATTAAGGAAATATCTGATTAACACTAGGAGCATAGAGGACAATATATATGAGATCGATATTCATCAACATTTATCTTGTGAATGACATTAATTCTGCATCAAGCTAGAGGTATCTGAATGCAAATTTACGTGAGGTTCTAAGTAGCTACTTAACCGTTAAAATGAATGTTGGAAAAACTTTCCCTCTAAGAGTCGTGAAAATATGAGACACTTATACTGTATTAAACGAAAGAAGCACCTTTGATCAGGTCTGTTGGAGCTTCGGGAATATTGAGAAAGAACTAAGCGGTTCAACTCTTTAATGAGACATTGAACACAGAAAGTCTGAACCAATCTCTAAACTTTATGCATATTACCTCTTACTTATAGCAATATAAATAAGATTTGTAAAACATTCCAGAACATGGTGAAAGACGGATTAATTCCAAGACGACATTACAACCTCCGATGGGATAACGACCTTGATCGATAACTAATTAGAATTCTACATGGAAAGTCGCCCATTATAAGTTTAAAAACAAATACTTCGAAATTTTGATATTCTCGATAGATCAACGTAGACAATAAAGCAAATTAAAACCCGTCTGGCCATAACCGGCAAAAGAACTATAGCCATTGATAATATTCAATTCTAGTCATTTAGTTAAGAAAACAGGGAGCTAACAGAAAATAACAAATTTCGTAAATTTTAACGCATTTTCAGCAACTCTACAGAAGTATAACAAAAAAACAAGACAGAAAGATGCCTCTCCAAAATTTCAATTAAATTAAGATTTTGCTAAAAGTAACACTTATAAACCATAAAATTGTTATTATTTTTAGAAAAGAGGTCCACATTGCCATTATCTACGAATAAAAGAACCCTACAACAACCAATTTTAAGGTTAAGTATAATTTACAGACCACACAGAAACTTTCTGAACTTAGTAGAAGTGTTCACAACACATGACTGGGAAGGAGGCTGAAATTCTGGAACAGTCCTTACGAGAAAGAGAAAAACTTAATCTGAACCCCATCGACTGAAGGTAGAACCCAGCCACCTCTAAAGCGTACTAACGATGCAAATGACTTATACAGAGCCAGTTTTCTAATAAACTTACTTCTTCGGTGAAGTCTTTGAAGAAAGCATCACTAGATGAGACGGTACTTGAAGACGTGGAGCCTTCAGAGACTCTTCGCGGTGGCCTTGTTACCATGGTAGCAGCAGGTTTACTGCCAATGGTCATAGCAGCTGATGCAGTGGATGAAGATATCACGGGTTGGGAAGGAGCATGAGTAGCAAGGTGTTTACGAAAGCACGTTAGAGATACATAGAACCTTTGACAATACGGGCAGGTAAACTGCGGCATTCTCAATTGGACGGCATTAATGTCTTGTGGAGGGGAAGAACTTGAAGGTACTTCCTCCTCTGCCCGACCGTCACTTTTATCACACATCTGCTGATCACCCATTTTAATATCTAAACAAAAATTAAAAAACAGAAATTTTCAGCTTTACTTTTAAAAAATTCGAAAATAGTACCTCTAATACGGCAAATATTCGAGGAAATTTAGGCTAAAAGTGAATAGCTGGTTTTCCAATATTCAGTTTGAAACAGACTTCGACCTTCATTTAAGTTAGCAAACCTTTCTATTTTGAAAACGATGTATTCTTTCGGACAAATTAGTAAACCCGATTTTTAAGGCGTGGGAAAAGACGGCTTCATGAGTTGCCTAAAATCGAACAAGTGCATGGTTAAGAATGATCAATAGTAGTTCCCAAATCTACATTGGATTAATAGACGGAATTGGTTACTAAAGCACTAGAAAAAAATCTCCAAGTACTTTTGTAGGAAAGGAGTTCCAAAGAAACAAAGGAAAGTCACATAAATGATCTTAAATAAGCACGATTTTGACAATAGCAGTTTCATTTTTTCAGAATATTAGGCAAAAATGAATGAGGAATTTAAACCAAACACTTTAGTAAAATTGACTAATTAGAATAATTAACACTTCCATGAACAATACATGCATTACGTTCAAGACATTACAAGGAATAAGTAGAGAGGATATTAAGACTATTAGCTAACTTGATTTTGCAACCCTACAAGTAAACAAATTTGCCTAAATCCTTGAAATAAAGAAATAAATAAGCATGACATGAACACGAGGACAAACTGGTCAGGCCAGTACAAACGATAAGGACAATTCTAGCATATAAATCAAAGTCAAGCTTCTTCAAGAGAGCAGAAGTGAGTAAAGTTAGCCATAAAATGATAAATCATTGCCGATATTCGAGTTACGCAGTTATTACCGAACATAAAAATGGATTAATTAACTTCAACTAAGCAAACAAAATAGAAACAAGATTTTGCAGGAAAAAAATAAATACAAAAAACAAGTGGAAAGCAATAAGATAATAAATAAGTTGAAAGTGTGGACAACAGTGACCAAAAATTTGTAGCTTTAAGGTATAGTGATAATCAACAGTATGCTAAGTAAGTGCGAAATGCTCTCCAAATTTAAACAATACAATTTATATAAATAAAAATTCATCGAGCTAATTAACAAAAACCAAAAAAAACTGACCACCGGAAGATAATCGATTTCCACATGTCGAACAGTTGACCAAATCATTCGACTCATTGTTCATTTTCGAACCACAAAAGCCGCAAACAAGATTCAGATGCCTTTGAATATGAGTATTTAAAGCATTATTAGAGGAAAATGTATTGGAGCAAAATTTGCAAGCATAACGGGGACCACTGCCAATAATGTTATTAGGTGCCCGGTTCTCATCATCTGTGGAATGTTTCCGTCGAATATGCCGGTTAAGGTAAGAAAGGAGAGCAAAAGTATGACGACAATAGGGACAAACGTAAGGGCCTTTGCAAGCACTTATGTGACCATCTATGTCCTTGGGCTCAAAACACTGAAGACAAGTCTTGCAAATGGCGAACAACGACTCAGTGTGTTCACTTCCAACATGTCGAAGAAGATGCGTCCGTGAAGATAAAATCTCTGAACAGAGAGGGCATGTGAAAGTTGTGTCGATAGAAAGAACTCGTGGTTGTGATCTAGGATGCTCCATAGAAAGAGTAGATTTATTGCGTATGTTTGCCATAGGTGAGTATGTGAAAGACAGAATGGTAAACGGTCTAAAAGCATAAAAGTGAAAATTTTAAAATTAATTTAGGATTTAAGAGAGATAACTACTGAAAGTAAATTGAGAAAATAGAGAACGACTAAGTGGTGAAATTAACCATGGACATAAACCGTTGTACAGCATGCTAGGAAAATGAGATCAGCAAATTATAAAAGCAAATATATTTTACAATATATAGATAAAATAATAGAATGTTATTTACACGCTATTAAAATATCAATTCAGAGCAAATCCATATTTTGCCATGCGAAAATGCAAGACAAAGCCCAAGCTCGGAAAAAACGAACGACTTCTGCTTTATACTAGCTAATTCAAACAAAGAAATTATGAAGGAGAGAAAATTAATTTTCATGTTTGTCACCAATTGATAATATTAGGATCTATGTCAAAGTGATTCTAAATTTTTAATGTTTCCATCAGTGATTATGTAATATTTCCAAACAAGACTTCATCAATTATTTCGTTTATACTATTTTAATGTTATAGCCTAGAACTCAAATGACAAATATATTTTAAAAATATAAAATAAACCTTATTTTTGATATTATACTCCAGAAATTACATCATTTTAACACTATAGTCACAATATGCTTTATTTGTTTTCATGTACCATTTCATTCGCATTCGACGTTGGACGAAGGGTTTAAATTTCCATATGCGGTTTTTGTATGTGTGCGGTAATTCTTATGCTACCTAAAGTGTCATTGACTTAATTTTTATTAATGGCTAAAATTTAACCTTATAGAAGTGTTTATGATATTGGTAATAGTTAACAGACTTAATTATTGAATTTTAAGTTGTTTGATTTCAGTCGGAACATTTTTTTAATTCTTATGCTTTACTTTCCTTATCTTTTCCACTGCAGAATTTTTATTAGAACCTATTTCTAATGGAGAGTGGGGACCACCATAAAGATGAAGTCCTGGTATGTATTTAACGTGTTTATTGCTTTAATTATTGTAATTTAGGACTTGACCGGATATAGGAGAAGTTGGCCTAAAACTATAGCCATTTGGATTCTTATCGCTATGTCAGGCTTTACTCTGTTTTTATTGTTTTATTGGCGAAAGGATATTTTAGTCACTCTTACTCATAAGAAAGTAGAACCATTTCAAGCCGAAGTATTTGTTATACGAGTAAGTTTCTTCCTACTGCCTTTTATTCCCTAGAGAGAATCGTTGGAATATTCAATCAGCCATGTTTTTGTGCAATCTCTCACTTCAAACAAGTAGGGTTAATTTTATTTTCCTCACTTCTATTAGTATTCGATTGTTCAAATATGTTGAAAATCGTAACTTGTGTGAACATCTTCCATTCGTTCTCGAGGAAGATATGAGTAGTATTCGCTTTTTCATTTACCATAATGTAAAGTATATTTGGCATCGGAGCCAAAATTCTTATATTCCAATAAGGTAATCATTTCGAATTATTTTTTGCTATTGAATTTCATTTATAGAGGACTGGATCATCAGTGTAATTTGGATACTTTAGTCACGGAGCCTTTATCACAAAATCGGGTGTCACATCTTCTTGCATTTTTCGGTCCCAATCGTATCCACATTCCTCTTACTCCCGTTCATGTCAAACTCTTCCGAGAGGTATTGCTGAATTCAAAATCATCATTATTAGATTCTCTCGCCTTTCTATGTCTTCCAAATATTCAGTATCATACTGTGGATGACCGCAGAATACTACTACTACGCCTCAATTATCCTATTGTTCTCTGCCGTTTCCATAATACTTTCAGCCTATTCGTGTCGGAAAGTAAGTGATATGTCTAAATCAAACCTTGATTCCTTCCTAGAACGAGCGTCGACTCCGAGACAAGGTCCAAATGGCTGAATCAGTAATGGTTCTTCGACAGAATTATGGTAAGAGAAATTTTCTCATTTTGAGTGTGTATGAATGATTTTAGATGCTCCTCGAGTCGTTCCCTCTACAAACCTTGTTCCTGGAGATATTATCTGTATACCTCCACAGGGCTGCGAAATGGTTGCTGATGTCCTACTTCTTAGTGGATCTTGTTCTGTCAATGAGGCTAGCCTTACGGGCAAGTTTGTTTTTTTGTTTACTGTCAATTTTAAATGTACTATTTGATTTATTTATCTAGTCTAGAACTGATTGGTATTTGTTTTTTTTTGCCTCTTTATTTCATGCCAATAATTTTTCATATGCCACCTCCAAACTTCTCACATTTTGATCATTCTTTTTTATTGAATTTTCTGTTTTTTGCGTAATTACTGAGGCCTATCGCAGTTTTTTTCTCAAATTGGTAACTCAAGTAAATGATCGCGCGTTTTAATCTTGCTTAATCTTAGTAAGGGTAATATATCTCTATGTTAAGTGTCAGCAATAATGCTTTCGATTTCTGTTTTCTCCATTTTTTCTCAGTTATTCATTTGAATATTTCTCTCTATTGGTTACAAATATGTGCTCGTTTGAAGTTTGACAATATCACAATTTGGCAAATGTTCATTTAAAAGCAATTTGTGATACTAATCACTGGCGCACGTTAACGGTCTCTGAATGTCAGTTTTCTGCAAGTGATAATTTTCTATTAGTGTTAGTGGTCCCACCTTTGAAAGATGGTTGCTTAATCATTCTTCCTAATGCCCTGCTAATATTCACTTTCCATCAGCAACAAACGGTGTCAATTGACAAATGACTTCACTACTCTTACCTCCACTAAACATTATAATCAAGGAGTTTTTTCCTTTGGGCATATTTTCGCGATTGCTACGTAACCAGACAACCTGTCTCTTTTTAATGATCTAACACCTGCAGTAGCTTTGTAATTTTATATCTTACGTTTATCTCATCCCCTATTCCTTACGTTCTACATTTAAATTCTATTTAGTGCATTTGCAAATAAATGGGTTTCTCGTACAGTTTACAGCCCTTAGTCTCAAAAGTTTATTTATATCAAATGGCAGGCGTCTTGATGGTTATCGTTAGCCCTTTAGTTGACTTCAGGCTTCACAGAGGGGAAGGAACATCAAATTGAAAAAGTCGATAGGGGGGGGGAACAGAAGAGTGTTTCAAAGATGTAAGAGACAGACACAAAGGTTGAACAAAGGTGAGGTGAGTACTGTGAAATATTCGAATATGGCAGAGTGAGGTGATGGTGGTTTGAAGTCAGAGGTCAACTGCCGAATAATAGACTTTTTGCCGTATGAATATACGTTGCCCAGGATGCACCACGTGGAGGTAAGTCTATCGCACACCCCAGTCTCAAAAGTAAAAGGATGAAGTGTTACTGTTTCCGTTTTATGGCTAATTAGTGTCGTTTGGTAACAGGGGTTTGTTTTAGTTGGTTATTCTGAAACAGCGGCGAGAACACGTTATCCCTTGGCTTGGCCCTACAGAAAGAATATTTAAGATGGAACTTCATTCAAATACCTTTAAAATCTTTTGCTTTATGGATCGAATATTCTCAAATCGGTCTTCTATTAATTGCAAACAGTTTTTTAGTACTTAGGTTAAGATGAGCAAAATGGCATGATTGAATATACAATTCTGCGACATTACAAAAGCGAGCATTAGCATTGAAAGGAAATAACCATGTATCTATCAATCTCTAGCTATCAAATATATAATTGTGGAAATAATTGAACTAAATTTATCATTGAGTATGTGTTCGAGCTGTTACTTCTATTTAATTTAGCTCTTCGTTGTTCTCGTTATTTCCGATGTGAAGTTTATCGAGTCAGGCTTTGTCACCTGAGGCTTTTTTATATATGCACTTCATAAACTTCTAACCATGTCGATATTTTTCACAGTGATTAATAGCCTCTAAATTTCTATATTACTAGTTATTCATTACTTTGCTTATTCTCTGGCCAAATATAAACGAAACATTTTAAATTATATCTACTTTTTTTTTCTTTAGGCGAAAGCATTCCTCAAAAAAAGTCTCCCATAACCGAACTCCCAACTAACGAAGATCGAAAAATTGATATCCGTCGATTGGCTCGCCATATTCTCTTTAGTGGAACTCGGGTTCTCCAAGCTAGACCCTCTCACATGGAGCCATATGTAAAGGCTGTCGTTCTACGCACAGGATTTCTCACTGTGAAGGGTGATCTGGTTAGAGCTATCCTACATCCTCGACCTCTGGATATTGATTTCACTCTTGATAGTTTTCGATTTCTTTCAATTATGACTGTTATCGCTATTGCGGGATCGGTCTATACGTGGCTTATTCTGGTAAGAGTTTGAACATGATCAATAGATTCGCTTCTGTTCTTCGCTTTATCTTTGTGTTGGGGATACTTTGGACATTTTAAAAAGTGATTTTTTAGATGACAACAATCATCACAAAGTAGCAATTTCGCGAATTAATCTTCTGTGTCTTTTACTATTTTACCACGATGTAAACTTTGGGAATGCAAGTATCTCCTTGCATTTCCCTTAGGAAATGCAAGCAGATACTTGCATTTCAATGCACCATACAATTCCTATTACTTGAGGGGACTTGTAAAAAGTTAAAACTATGCATTTATTTTTCATTCATACTACCAATTGGTCAATAAGCTCATTATTTTAATTACCCACAGTAATAGAAGGAGTGAAATAATGATCAAAAGTATACAGACAGCAACTTCAAAGATTTTTTTAGGATCTAATTATTTGAATTTTGGAGTTCAGTCGTAAGATATTTAGTAAATAGGTCACTCACGTTCTAAAATGTCTACTGCCATGGCTAGTGTGTCTGGATTATTGAAAAATGTTTATGCGTCACGTCTAGTGTTTTTTGGCCGTTTTTTAATCGAAAGTGTCGTTTTTTCCGTAGTAATTCAATTTGCGCTCCCGATGGTGATATATGAAATAGCTTAAAAAATGGTTGCCATCCCTACCACGATAGTGAAGAGCTTTCTGCAGTTCTTATTTGTCAGTCGAAGAATAATTCACGTGCTCCCGTCGTTATAAGGTATATATGATGGAGGAACGGTTTGAACTGTTATATGAAGCCTGCTATTCGTAACCACCTTTAACGCATTTTAAGCAAGCACCCACGGATTGTTCTACAATATTTATCTCCAACACTCCGTAATTTCCTCTATTTATTTATTTCAAATGGCAGGCTTTATGATATTTATCATTAACCCTTAATCTTTAACTTCAGCTTCCCCCAAGAAGGGGGGGGTACATTTATAGCAGTTAATTAATAGCAATTCATTAGCTGTCTTCTTGCTTCCCAGTATCTTTGGCTTTCCGTACTTGTCTTTAGGGCTGGATACCGAATCAGGTGGGTCTTCTCCATTTCCTCCTGTAGGTGTGATTTCCTCTAGAAATTGCAAATTGCTTTAGCTAAGGCATAAGCTCTTATATTCACTGTATAAGTGGAAATTTTCTCAAAAGTTTTTTTTAAATGTGAATATTAGTAGTCGAACCACAGTAACGCACTACCTATTCTTTTAAGGTTAGTTAATTCCGTGTGTATTTTTTTTCTTTACTTTCTATCTATGAAAATACAAAACTGTAAGGTCGTAAAAACGAGTGCAAAACCTCGTACTTGAAAACCTATATTCTATCCAATCATCGTCGAATCGTCTCTGACCGAATGGAATGGTTTCAAACACTTGAAGCTATAGTGGTCTTAATGCGAATTTCGGTCCTTTTTCACTCATTTTTTTGCATTATTACTTTCTCTTTATATTGAAAATTGTTCATTGTTCTGTCCAAATTGTGCGCCGTTATGATCTTCCTCCTTGAATCTTTACGTTGGTCAACTATGAAGCCCCTGAAGCACTTCGTCTTAAAGTCGAAATCGTTTACTATTATTGATGAATGAAGCAATTACTAGAAAAATTAAAATATGTCATCCATCACTGTAATTTGAAATGAAGGGGTAAAGGGAGCAATCAGAATGCAAATAGTGTCCAGAACCGGGATTTTGCTTTACCAAAGATTTAAACGAGATTTTTAAGAGAGAATTCCATCTATTTAAACGGTGTAATAAATAATTATATGCATAGAAATAACATACGAATAGGCCTCCTATGCTTAAACGAAAGTTGATGTTGTTGATGAATTCCTTTTAATCTTTTTTCTTCAGTATCATTTCAAATTCAGCATTAGCACGCTGGTGCGCAAGTCGTTGGACATTCTAACAATCGTTGTTCCACCCGCGTTACCAGCAGTAATGACCACTGGGCTTTATCTCGCTCAAACACGACTGAAAAAATTGGAAATCTTTTGCATCAATCCTTCTGCTATCAACGTAGCTGGAACACTTAACACCGTTGTCTTTGACAAGGTTTGTTTTTCCCCCGAATCTCCTCTGTATTGGTTCTATCTATGCAAAATTGAATCTTCTAGCTTCTAGGACTTTTCTGACAAGCGTCTTTAACTCTTTTTTTACTAGACTGGAACGCTTACAGAAGAGACCATATCAGTTAAAGGTGTTTGGCGACCCGAACTCTTTTATAATTCGTTGGATCTTACCAAAGTGGAGGTTATTTCCAATGATTCTTCTCCTTTTGCACCTGCCTTGGCTGCATGCCACTCCTTGTCACTTGATCCCATTTCCTTTGAGGTGGTTGGCGACCCCCTTGACCGGGTCATTTTCACTTCAACCAACTGGGTAAGTCGGGATATTGTGCTCTAATTCGTCTAACTTGTACCTAACTGCTTATTGATGATCTTCGTATTTTGTGCTGTAGGTTTTCCGTGATTATGACTTAGAACAATATCGCAGACACTTCGAACATCCTCTTCATGGTGTCGTTTATAATTCAACGGTCAGTCATCTGTCCGAGCACCACGTTTACTTATCGAAAGGTTTCTTTACATTAGCCTTCCTATTTCAGCTAGATGATGGTTCTCCTTGGAGTCGTTTGGGTATTATTCGACATTTTCCTTTCTCGTCTGTGGCTCAGCGACAGTCTGTTGTTGTAGAGACTTCCGGTAACGGGGAGATGGCTCTCCTTTGCAAGGGTGCTCCAGAAGCGATAGCCGCACATTGTGATGCTCAAACACTGCCTTCAAACTTTGAGAAAGCACTTCAACACTTTACAGAGCAAGTATGCTTATTTACCCTTTCATCTATTATTTGGCAAGATGAGAATCTTGTACTTTTGCTTGTGAGCCGTTGGGGTTCTGAAATGTCCCAATGCTTCTTTGATCATGTTTCAATCTAGTATCCTCAGAAATCTCGTCCATCTTCTTGCTTTGTCTGGGATATAGTCCACTTCCATCCTAATGATTTTCAGTTATCGGGGTGTGCGATAGACTTACCTCCACGTGGTGCACCCTGGGCAACGTATACTCATACGGCAAAAAAGTCTTTAAATCGGCAGTTGGCTTCTGTATGTCATATTCGACATCTTTCACAGTACCCACCTAACCTTTTTCCTATTTTTTCTAACTTCGTCTTTGAAACTCTTCTGTTCCTCCCCCCCCCCCTCTCGACTTTTTTTCACTTTGATGTTCCTTCCCCTCTGTGAGGCCTGAAGTCAACTAAAGGGCTAATGATTGCCATCAAGACGCCTGCCATTTTATATAAATAAATAAATTTTCAGTTATCCTCTTAAGGCCAATGATTAACATTTGATTGAAATATTGTTTAAAATGGTGCCATTTTGTACCATAGTCAAACAGGGAACTAGTGTGGCCATTCCTGTAATCGCTCACCATTGAATCACTTTGTTGAGCATAGTCCTTGGTTTTCACTATCACGCAAATTTGCGATGTAATAAATCGATCGATTTTGCTTTAAGTAATAGTGTCTCTTCACTTTGCCATGAGGGAAATTGATCAAAGGTCAAGGAGTTAAATGCTCTTTGTTACAAACCGAGTTAGTGGGGGTGGTTAGATGCATTGTCTAGGCCTAGCTAATAAAAGAGTGGAGATTTTAGAGTGGGCTTGGGAGTTCCTATTATCTGTGCTCTGTTGCAAATTCTGCAGGTACTTTGGAGCTTTCAAAATTCCTCTATTCTCCTTAAATGTGATTTCATCTACAAACTGCACCAAATATAAAAGGAACTGTACTTAATGAATATTTGACTGCATAGTTTAGACAGTGAGTCCTTTTATTAAGTACTACTTTCTCATTGACTGCGGTAATAATCAGTCCTATAGTACTAATTCCATTAGTTATTTTATTGTGAAACCCCTCCTTTAATCACGTCATGTGGCCAATACGTTTGTACAAAACGCATGGCTTCCAAATAAGCACTTCTCAATTGACTAAATTATTAAATTAATGACTAGCTTTCGTATTTTTTTATTGCCTAACTCATTTTGACAAATTCCCTATTCTTCACATTCTTCCATTTATGTAGGGTTATCGAGTGCTTGCATTGGCATGGAAACCAATCGAAGTTGATGTTGGAGAGGGTGAAGTGTCTGCGCTTTCTATGAATCGTGAAGAACTTGAGTGCGATCTTCGATTTCTTGGACTGGTTGTGCTGGACAATCCGTTGAAACTGGAGACTGGTCCTACTGTCAGAGAACTTCTGGAAGCAGATTTTCGTGTGATAATGGCAACTGGTAGGCTTTGTATTTGAGATATTTCCAATAAGGCAATGATCGTATTTTTCCTTTGTTAGGTTAACATAAACTTTATGTTTTCCTTATCTTTTGTTTTGAAAGTATAGGTTTTTAACTAAATTGTTTATTCGAACTCATGAATAGTCCTGTGGATTGCATTTCCATGTGATCGAAAAAAAAATGAAATTGAACAAATCTCGTGAAAGTGTCGTGAAAATTGCATGAAAGAGAGGAGAAATCGTTTAGCAAGAGTGATGAGAAGCCTCTTTAAATTATTGGAAGAGTTTAAGAAATTGAGCATTGGCAATCTTGTTTTACACTTCGTCATGATCCGGGACAGAGCTTTACTTTTAATGACTATTCAGAAAACAAAAAACTGATTGATATCAATGAGGCTGAGATGCTTTAGACGCCTTCTTCGTCGATTTGCGACTGCGAGACATATGAAATTGGAGGGCTAATTTCGTTCAAAGAAGTTGGATGATCTCAGATTCAAGAAAGCAGTTTCAATCCTCTGCAAACTGGTCGGCAAAAATTCATTGGAATTTTGCAGGTGCTTCAAATGTCTAATATTAGCTATGGGGTGTAATGCTAATTTACTTTACCAGTTTACTTGGATAAATGAAAATTTTGCACAATCAAACTAGAAATGTCTCTAAGTGGTTTTTATTCCTTCATGGTCTTTTGAATTCCTGCCTCTCAAGTGTTTGTTTATTAAGTCTTAAGTGATTGAGCAACAGCATGGTGTCACTTTACAGAATCATATTATGTAAAACTTGGACAATGAGAGGTAGTTTTGTTTTCATTTATCATTTTATTTGCTCTTCACATGTGCAGCATTAATCAGCTTATACATTGTGTGTTAGATGAGCTAATAATATTATAGAATTATCCTCTCTCTCTATTGATCAACTGGCTAGTGCAAATTTGTACATTTAAGGCCATACCTTGTCACTCCAAAGAGAGGGCATTCTGCGAAAGTGCCACTTTTTAGTGATTTATGAAGCTTTCATCGGACAAACTTTCCTTCCTCATTATCATTTGAGTGTTTATTTTCAATTATTCAGTTCTCATAGTCGAATTTTTTATCTGGGATCTAGTCATCCTAGCTACTGTCTGTTTCCTCTAGTCCTGGCATTACTAAAATGGCTATCAACTCGGCGTATTATTTAAAAATTAACTGGGGTGCGCGATAGACTTACCTCCACGTGGTGCACCCTGGGCAACGTATGCTCATATGGCAAAAAAGTCTATTAATCGGCAGTTGACTTCTCACTTCTAACTACCAACACCCCATTGTATGTCACATTCTACCACTTCCATAGTACTCACCTCATCTTTTCTCTGTCTTTGTGTCCGTCTATTTTACACCTTTGAAACATTCTTCTCTTCCTCTCCCCCCTCTCGACTTTTTTCACTTTGATGCTCTTTCCCCTCTGAAGCCTGAAGTCAGCTAAAGGGCTAATGATAACTATCATAACGCCTGTCATTTGATATAAATAATCTAAAAATTAACTTATTTTCGGGATTATTCACTTTATAATTTTGGACTTATTGCTTATGGAAACGCTCCTCTCTCTCTCTCTCGATAAATGGAGTCTTTGGAAAGGGAAGCTGATTTGTTCGAGTTGGAAGGATTTTTCTGTTTTTTCTTTGTATTCGTTTCGTGTCTTGATTGATTCTTTTCTGTTATTGTTTTAGGAGATAATCTTCTAACCGGTGTTTCCGTCGCTCGTCAATGCGGAATGATCGACAATGCGGACGTGGTAGTTCAAGTCTCTCTGCCTGCTTCACCTGATAACCTTCTTGATTTTGAAGTGCTTGCAGCCTTTTCTGGTGGTATTGACTCCGAGAAATCGGAGTGGATTTGCGCGAGTCTTAAATCTCTAATCCAATCTGATGTTGCTGCTGCCGGTACCTCAGAAACTTCTTCTCTTATAAACTCAGGTGGAATTCATAGTAGTCCTTTTAGCCCAACTACCAATTTACATCTAGTTTTAACCGGCACATCGTGGAATTACATCCGGGTTAATTTACCAAGGTTTTTGCCTACTGTAAGTTCTCTCATAACCGCAATGTTTATTAAGCATCGTTGCATCTACTATTTTTACCTCTGGCCAAGGGTCAGAAAGGCTCAATTAGAAGTAGAAGAGCAGGGAGATTGGGTACGGAATGACTTTACAAGTCTCCTGAGTTTTCGGTTTCATCAGATTTCCACTAACTATTTTAGTTCACTAGGTCTTGTTCTAATTTTCTACTATGCCGTGTTCCATATTTTAGTCTTCCGGCACCCACTTTCTTGAATGCACGCATTCCCGCGATTTTCTCAGGTTAATTCTTATGGTTGGTCATACCATCTCCATTCGTTTCATCTCCTTCTAATCTTGCGAATGTATCCGCTCATACAAAGAATATCTTCCATTCTTTTATATTTGCACTATTTATGTTAGGATCCAATTTTATATTTGACTTCATTTTATGCTAGCATTTTATTGTCGGAGTGCTTTTATTTTATTTATGTTAAACCTACTTGCGATTCGCCTTTGCAGCGGTCTTAAAAAATGCATGTTACCGAAGTAGTGTTGCGTGCTATCCCAGTCAATACGAAGGTTACTTCTTTCACCTTTTCTGAGTTTTCTTATTTAATACACCTCTTTGAAAACTCCTCTCACTTGTGGAAATCTAGTCTTTGTCTTTTGTCGAGTTTCAGTAAATTTGATTGCTTTGTGGATTAAGATGTCATTACTTTTTTGCCTCATCAGTGCTTAATGAACCAGCCGCCAATTTAGAGGGGGAGTAAGTGAAGTTTCTTTCGTAGGTAAGACCATTTAGAGAGGTGGCTACTTTTTTCAGCTGAGCGTTAATTTTTCTCTTTTTTCGATAAGAACATATTGACTTTTGAATGCTGCATTTTTGTTGAGTCAGGGGTCTATTATCTCTATTCCATTTAGTTACGTGTTCCTTAAAGGAGGCTATTTTCTTATGCTTGTCTTTATGGTGGATATAGGTATGACTCCTTAATCGACAATTTTCACTCCCCTCCCCCACCTTCTGACTGGAATTTTGGATTGAAAATTGTTACGATTTTTTTAGTTTTTTTTTTAATTTCAAATGGTTGTTGATGTAGTTTGTGTAGTGACCACCATTGCGCCACCTGCTATATCACCAATGTGAACTCGGTGCGCTGGTTAATTCTAATTAAGCAAAAGGTAATTGAGGTGGTTACGTGTTTTCTGCTTCTTACCAAGTAATGCTGAAATTTCAATCTTTTCAGCAAGTTCCTACTTTGACTTAATTATTTGACTTTTAGAATTTGCCGATTTTGGCTCTTCTAATGTCTTCCCACAAATACAAAAAATCAAATATTCCCTCCCCCCTGCGTTACTAAAGCTTGGGTTTCTGTTCTTTGTCAATTCATAATAGCCACCCTTTTGTACACAATATTTAGTCATACTGTTTACTGTTGACGTTGCCATCGTGAGCATTTTTTCCCTGTGGTAGGTCTCGAATCTAATTTGGAAATGTGATTTTTAACTCAATTCTTATATATTTGGAAGGGATCCTGTTATATCTCGGGTGAGAATCCCCATTCCAGCATGCATCAGTTTTATCCAATGTAATTAGTTTTTACTTACCCTTAATTTTTCGTGCTTAATTAGCAAACCTTAAACTTTTGAATTAGGAAAGTCAAGAATCAAGAATCTTCCCTATATAAGCACTGAAATGAACTCTATAAAACTAACAGGTTTCAGGTACCTCTTTTTCATTTTTTTACCGCCGCTCTAAGTTAATATGACTCGCGTCCTAGAAAATAAAATTGTTATTGTTAAACGCCAAGTTAACTAATCAATAACACCAAGGAGGGTAGAAAGATGTAAAGATTCATTATATTAACGATTTGCTAGAGGCAAGCGGTGGACGTCTAGACCTGAACGTATGCACAATATCGCACTATACTTTTAGTCATTAAATCTCATCGCTTATTTAGAAGGATAGTGTGGTGAAAATACGACCTTTCGGATAGAAAGCGTGCGATCTCTGTTTTCTTCATGGCTCTATTCAAATGTTTATTAAATCTTGCATGTTTGTAGCTAACTTTGCTCTATTGATCCAACGTTGACTGTCTTGTTTACTGTATGTCCGATTTTGCGCGCATATGTTTTTGTATACTGAGAAGAGACTAACTCTTTCTTTATTGAGGGTTCCCAGACCATTTGAACAGGGTATCAGCATTTAAGTCTTTCTATGAGGTTTTTGGTTACAGTAATATCTTTTTCGCACCTTTCTCTAAGTCAATTTGCAACTTTCCGTAAAGTACCATTTTTCGTTCATATCTTACATGCACCTATATGATCACTTACGCAAACGAGGGTGAGAGTGAGGGGGGGGGGCAAAATTTGTTATAGAAACCGAATGCTCTTAGTATAAAGAGGGAATTGGTGAACTGATTAGCGTATGGACACCACAATGTCCATAAATCGTATCAAGCTAAAAAATTCTGTCTTCGAAAGCTTTCATTTGACACTTATTTCAATCGAGAAGCTGTCCTATTTATTATCATCGTTTAACGTACTAATACCATGCTCAGATTTCTTTCATCTTGGCCAAAGTGTTGCTTTGTAGCCCTTCAATTCAGAATCAATTAAATTTGGCCTTCATCACCTTACGGTCTATTCTGGTCTGTTTGTTTCACTATGAAGCCTTTCTATCGTCGGTAAATTTGAAATTGTTGGTATCAACACGTTTTGTTTTTTCACTTACCCTCTAGGTCAATCATCAAACTGCTTATTCCAATGAGTTGATTAAATCAACAACTTTTCTTTCTAACTGCCTGTTAGAGCTAATGCAGCATGAAACTGTCAACGGCATTTGTTTAATTCTGGTGGGAATGTTATGAGTTAGAGTCATCACGCTAATGAGAAACCAAAAGTTGACTTGAATATGTTATAGTAATTTGGAATACCACATTTAAGAGCAAAGAGATGTCCTCAACGCATTCAGAGTCGAGCGTTTTAGACAAATAGCAAAGCCAAAATGGGCATATGATTATCAATTCATGAGAGCACCATTGATTTGATAAGTGATAGCCTCAACTTCCAATATCCGAACAAGAGGAAATAATGCGATAAAGAATGGAAGGGTGGAGGGATTTGGTCCATTGGAAGCGGGGGATCTTTCCTTTTTAGACCTTCTTGCCTTTTCGAAATATGCATTGAAGGTACTTGCATAGAAATTTGTGTTAACATTGTCCGACGAGGGAGGGGGAGGGGCGCCTTAGATACCAAGCATTTTAACCTTCTTTGTCTATTTTAACTTTAAGCATAGTAAGTCTTTGTTAATCGTTGCCGATGAGAAATATTGACCCAATCGGCAGCACAGCACAGCACAGCTCCGCTCATTTCCTCTTTTCTTTAATAAAAAAACTTGGTAGACACGATTTGATGCTATTAGCTGTTTTAGTCGGGAAATGCGATTCCTTGTCTTCTATATATCAACTCTCATCTTTCCCTTATGTTTCTTCCATTTCAGTCGTTTTTTAAACTGTTGCGAGTTGAATGTAACTAGTTTTCTTTTCATTTTGCTATATCACCTTTACTGATTCATTTCTCCCATTTTTTAACAGGTCCTCTCCCACGGCACCGTCTTTTCGCGTTTCTTACCCGACGATAAGACTAATTTGATTAGAGCTCTACAGTCTTACAAAGGGGGTGAGAAGTGTCAACGCCAGAATCGTGTAGCGATGTGCGGTGACGGAGCGAATGATTGTGGAGCGCTGAAAGCGGCTGCCGTTGGAATTGCTCTCAGTGACTGTGAAGCGAGTATTTCTGCTCCCTTTACGTCGCGACAGCAGAACATCACTTGTGTCTCCAGGGTTCTTAAGTTCGTCTTAGAAAGCTTATTCAGCATTATTTGTTGTCTTTGCATACTTGCTCACTTTATAATCGCTATTATTCTTTATGTGAAGGTAGTGTGCAAAATCACTGGAGAGGTGCGCAGGAGCCATTGGTACTCGTCTTCGTAGACGAGGATTTCATGTCTGTCAACACACACACCAGTTGCGTGGTATAGATAACCACATTTATTAAGCTCGTCTGATAAAATTGGAGGCGGAATTTCGGATTTCCTCCTAAATAACACTATTATGTTATTTCTCTATTTGAAATCGGTGTTCTGGACTTAAGATGATTGGCAAATTCCGTTTGGGGAAAGCTAAAATGCGGGAACCAATAGAGTTAAATAGGGGAAATTTGCGAAGTTATTGCTCACCTAACTTTTATTTCCTTTTTTTACTACAAGATTTGGAAACGGACAATAATTGTGTTTGGACTTTTGCCTTAAGAGGATGAAGCGCGTTTTTTTTCCTACCATTAAAATGAACATGTGGTTTGGTTTTATTGAGAAATCGTTAAATTACTTTAAGGGCAGTGGGACGAATACTGACGTAAAACAGTGAATGCCACTATTTATGATAATGGAAGTAGTTTGATGAGCTATTTGACTTCTAACCAAGTACCGGAACTCTGAATTTAGTGTCTACTATTTATAGATTAAGTAGTATTTTGAGCTTTATATCCATTTGCAGGTTTCTCAATGTTTCTATTTTTTAGAGAAGGCCGCAGTTCCCTGTCCACAGCAATCGGTTCTTTCAAATACATGGTTCTTTACAGTTTTATTCAATTCTTCACAGTTCTACTTCTCTACTATGTAAGCTGTCAACTTCGTCTCTCTTTCTAGCCATGTTAATGGAAATTTGCTTTTCTTTCTTCGACCTTTCAGATCGGCAATACTCTTACAGATCCTGAATATCTTGCTATTGACCTCTTTATTGTCGCTCCTCTCTCGGTGACATGTAAGTTGGAAAATATACTCATATGCGTGTATATTGTATCCTTTAAGACCACGGTTTTATACTCATGAACAGCCGAAAATGATCAGGTGGCAACGTGATTTAAAGTACCCAATTCTCTGCTAAAATTGTTTATTGCAAATCTTTTCCTTAAAAAGGTGCATATGAGTAAATATGGGCATGATTGGTCATTTTTTTCGGTTTCGCCGTCACTAATGGCAGCTTTCTGTACTGCATGTCTTGCAATGCGTTTGCAGTAAAAAGTTAGAGAAAGAAAGTTGACAGATATGTGGATTGACGTAGGAAGACTATGGAGACAATTGCAATTCTGATTTTACTGGCGTTTTGAAGGAACAAGGACGGATGTGTATAGGCGTAGCTCATAATCGACCTATTTGGGGAAGCTGGGAGTCTAGTGTCGATGTCACCTTAGAAAATGTTCATGATTAAATTTTTTCGAAATTGAATAGGTATAGTAAACGGCTATGCGTCAAATGATTTTGGATATTGTTTAGCATTCCTTGTAGTGATAACTTTTCCCATTGAGATTTAACTATTTATTTAGTTTTAATAATTGAGTCAGCATGAGGAAGATGTTGTTACGACAGCTCGTTTTTATTATTAATTTACCTCCATTTCGCTAGAGTAAATTATATCCTACTCATACTATTGAGTAGTGCCTTTATAGCCTACAGTAGGAAATCCAAATGCCTCTATCACTCCATCATTTAGCTACATTCTAGCTATCATTTGGAAGATTTTTCAGAATGGTTCAGTCATTTACATCCTTTGCTTGATCTTAACATTCAAACAGATTTGTCATCTTATACGTGCAGTCTCTTCCCGTTCTGCCCGCTAATTGGAATCCCTTTGTTTCTTTCTTCAGCCTCTGTGAGATCAATTGCTATAAATTCTACAGCCGTATATGTCAACTGCTCTAGCGGTTTTTATAAAGCCCTTTTTTAAATTGAATACATCGCCTTTTCTTTACTAGTTGCAATGAGCCGGCCATGGAAGCATCTAGAACCCAGTACACCTCCTCTACGCCTTTTGACACCATCGAATATCATGTCAGTTCTTACCCATTTAGCACTCTCCATTGGAGCTCAAGTAATCGTCTTCATCCTTGTTCAAAAGCAGCCTTGGTAGGTATAGTATTTACTCACCTCTAACCTTCCTCCTTTAATTATAGGTGGAGTCCTTTTCAGCCCTCGGAAGATCGGTTGGATAGTGCTGGTTCCTATGAAACCACCGCACTATTCTATTTTTCATCTTTTCAGTACGTTTTCGTCTGCACGGTTCTTGCTAAAGGTCCACCTTTTCGAGAGAATGTCTATGCCAATGGTAGGATTCTTAATATGCTTTCTTAACTGTCTTTTTTTCCGAATCAGTTTGCTTTGCTCTCAACGTGCTTTTGGTACTGGGCATGGTCATCGGATTCGTTCTATTTACCCCAGCATTCTTTGTCGATTGGGCTCATGTAAGTCAAATACAAAAAAAAACTCATTTCGCAAATTAATCCGTCTAAATTGCTTGAGAGTGCCATCGCTTTTTAAATTTCCTTAGCTCCTGCCGCTGCACTTTCCTAAAGATGTGGGCTTTCCAAGGTACAGTTTTACGGTGGCACTTGTTGTGATGGCAATGCTATACTTTATCATGGCTTGGGGAGTGGAGAAAGTGATTGATGTTGTCACCTTGCGGAACGCAAACTACGCACCCGGGAAACACCCATCCTCGAGATTTGCTGATATATTTTTGTGATATATACCTTGCTCATTCATTAACATATTTTACATTTTTTATTGATTCACTTTTGTATGATCTTGGTGTACATGCAATTCAATTCCTTTTATAAGGCCGATTCAATTTAATATATTACGATCAAGTAAATGCACTTTAATGCACTCAATTCTAGACAAATTTATGTGCAAGACAGCTCTTAGTGCGTTCACGAAAAATTTTGATTTAGTGGAGGCATACTTGAATTTTTAAAATACTATTTATTTATATCAAATGGCAGACATTTTGATAGTTATCATAAGCCCCTTAGTTGACTTCAGGCTTCACAGAGAAGAAGGAACATCAAAGTGAAAAAAGTCGAGAGGGGGAGGTGGGAACAGAAGAGTTTTTCAAAGGTGTAAGAGAGAGACAGACATAAAGGTAGAGTGAAAAAGGTGAGGTGGGTACTGTGAAGGAGTCGAATATGACATACAGTGGGGTGATGGTAGTTTGAAGTCAGAAGCCAACTGCCGGTTAACAGACTTTTTGCCGTATGAGTATACGTTGCCCAGGGTGCACCACGTGGAGGTAAGTCTATCGCACACCCCA